GGTATATTACGGTAATGAGATATAAATATATACATATGCATATAGAGAATATGCGTGTACACTTATACGTACGTATGTACAAATACAATATATACACGATTCACATATGTACGTGTAAGTGTGTGATAAACGCATGTTCGATATATATACATACACATACATATACATATTATATTTAACTATTGCAAAGTGTTGTTACATCGCTACTTGTATCGTATTTTGTACAAAGTATCCCTTACCTTCAATTGTTCTTTTTCTTTCGCCGTGATATAAATATATATATAAAAAGAAGATAAATCCTTAGCGAAGGCGAAGGAAGCGTGACAAATTTCAGAGAGAAAAAAAAAAGGAAAAAAAAACAGTCATTTTTGCCAGTATCACACAGACTTTTGGGGAATCATACACCAAACTTGTCATTAATTAATTGTTATTGAAAATATCGCGGGTATAATATCTGTTTGGAACCGACAGTTGCCTCTCGTTCGTTCGTGTTAATCGAGTGCCGACAGATTGCGGCAACGTGCGGCAAAAAGAGATATATATATGAAAAGGGAAAGAAAAGCACAGAAAATAAAGAAGGAGAAGGAAATATGGAGAAACGGCGTGCGTGTATGTGTGCGATCCTGCGAATTATGTAATTGTAGCATGGGTGTCAAACACGCGGCCCAATTAAGGGTCGTGTTCCAATTGAGAGAAGTTGTCGTCGCGGTTCGACCGAATTTTCTTGCGGTTTCATTCCTCGTGATTTCGAGTTTTCCTTCCGTGTCGAAGAATAACGAGAAGAAGGAACATCTCTTCGTTGTAGCGCGATCCGGTGCTCTGTGCAATGTACATTTCAATTTTGTCCGAAATCCGGAATCGAATCAGCGCTTTCTTTTCTTTTTTTTTTTTTTTTTTCGTTGACATTGATCGATTTATTTCGATCGGACAATACCGAGGAACGATAGTCGAATTGTTGTTTTTTTTTTTCTCCTCCCTCCATACACATCGCTTCGTCGTCGTCGTCGTCGTTGTACATTTAGACACTCCTCGTTGATCTTTGTTAAGGAAATATGTATCCCTTGGTGGACCACGAGTTTGAGCAACCCGTTAGTAATACCATCAGATTTGTATCGTAGTTAATCGGTTCGTAAGTCTTGTTTTTGCAATATCGATCACGGTGAATCGTATTAACGTTCAACGAGCAAGAGTTACAGGAACTGTTTGTATACTATTGACTATGGACCAAGCTACACTTTCTCAAAGAGACCAATTCGGCTATTCAGACGTACATACGTAACAATGTAGGATTCGTTTCGATTTTTCGTAACCCGTCGGATTCTTTCTTTTCGCAATTTCTCTCGCGTTCGAAGGAAGAAAAAGCAAAACGACAAAAGAAGAAAAAAAGGAAAAGAAAAGAAAAACGAGGAAGAAGAAGAAGAAGAAGAAGAAGAAGAAGAAGAAGATATTTTTATTAACATTTACAATCTGTATTCTGGAAACTGTAGGCGTTCAGAGAGGGAGAGAGAGGGAGAGACGCAAGAGCACGTTTCAACGATCGCGATTTCTTGCCACGTTCGACTCTCTTTCGTCGGCGTGAAAACAGACGCGAAACGTTGCGAATAATGTAATGCTTGCTCGTCGGTGTTCGATTTAAACGAACGAAATTGCAAATTCAACGTACAGTCGATCTCGTTCGACCCGTATTCGCGCGAACGTCGAGAACTCAAAGTTTGCCTGAATCAAAATCAGCTCGAACGGATAAATACGCTTTCGATAAAAGTGTCATTGAAACGCGTGTGTTATCAATACCGATATCGCTTGATCCATTGGAGAGAAAAATTGTAGCAGCGTTTTGCGTATAACCGTCGTTCAGATCATTCGATAATATGATTTCACCAGTAAGATAGTAAACTAATACTATTATTATAGAATCCATCGTAAATGGACAAATTTGTTAACGTTTCTCGAAGAAGAAGAAGAAGAAGAACGATTCCGTGTGAGAATGGATTTGTTCCTTAATCTGTTGATACTGAGCGTTCCAATGGATCGAGTGGGAAGACGAGCTCGTTTTCCTTGATCTTCGTCCGATAGAACCCCTTTGTGCGATCTCGGAGTAAACTTGCGATTGATGTCAGAATTCCTATGAATCTTTGCTGTGAACATATCTAATATGAAATGTTGATTCAGGCGATTAAAGGAAAAAAAAAAAAAAAAAAAAAAAAGAAAAAAGACTGACGTGACATTTAAGATCTACAGGTATTTAACACGTTCGCTACCAGTGCCGGGAGGATCGATCGACGAATGAGAACGTGTATCGTTCAGTTCTTCGAGATTCACTTCACTCGATCCGTCTTGATCAAGCAAAACTAATCGACTAATCCAACTTGGCCAACTCGTTCGCGGAGTAAAATTAGCGAATCGCTGATAAAATTGAATAAAAGTAAACGACGTTGAGAAGAGAGGAAAAAAAAGGAAGGAAACAGAGGAAGAAGAAAAATGATTAGTAGCCTGTAAAAATGGAAATGGAAAGAACCTTCGTTCGAATGGTAGTGAATGTGTTAACTAAATATTACTTAGCAAATCTGTAACGTTCATCTTCCATCTCTCTTTAAAAAAAAAAAAAAAGAAAAACACTTTCGTTTCCTTTCCTTACTACTTCATTGTTGAGTTTCATAGCGATATACAGCAAGAATCACACGTAGCGAGAAATGAGTTTAATCGATGATTCA